GGAGGCCATGGCTAGTAATGGCTAGTAGGTTGGAGGCCATCGATAGCGAGTTGGAGGCCATTGCTAGTAGGTTGGAGGTCATGGCTAGTAGGTTGGAGGCCATTGCTAGTAGGTTGAAAAATGCTTCATGCATACTTGTGGGAAACAGTTTGGAAGTTGGCCTTAGCATGCGGTGACCGCACTCCAAAACATCGAATCAACGGCGGTACCGACATGGCATGGCACGAAAGGCATGCCCGGTGCTCGGCCGTTTCACGGCCCGTTGGAGACAAAGGCTGGTGGTCAAGCTTGGCTATGGATCAAAAACAAGTACTGTAGCCTGGCCTGTCAACCGCTCGTGGGCGAAGGAGTAAACAACTTGGGATTGGAGAGAAACCTGATGGGTATCATGTTTGAAGCCAAGTTGTAACTACATTAATTCTCTCGGGAATACTTGCTGGCAGCCAGGAACCTATGACAATATAGATATGACATATACCTATTTCATGCTATTTTAATTGCGTCGTCTGAGATGCTGCATGCTGTTCGACAGCAAACAACAAAAAGATTGTGCAGTTCGGAGGTTGGCATGCAACACTGCTAGCTTGAAAGTGTCACTGGAACTTCACAATTCTTCTTACCACCAACCCAAAAAAAACAACGCTTCCCATTTTTTCCCCGGGCCCGCAGTTATCCGTACAATGGCCCCAATTGACCAGTTAGGAATAGAATGTTTTGCGGATGAGTTGTCAGAAACCTAGTTTTCGCTTGAAAAGCACTGCTCTTTTTTCAAGACTGACTGTATCCTTTGGGGGTTTGGAAAGGGTTGGCCACAACATGCCAGTTACTCCTTTTCCTGGATTCTTGCTCACTATCTTTTGAGGCAACGCAAGGTGCTGTCGGTTCTAGGCAATGCCACGAAACGAGGCCAGTTGGTCGCAGTGCACAACGGAGCCAACGACAACGGCCTCGCGGCCTCTAGCAGCCAGTGGCAACAAATGTCAGATTTGAGCACTGAAGCTCCATTGGCTCGGGTCTTCTTCGAGCGAATTCCTTCTACATCATAGACCAGCGCCTTTTTGGTCGGTGGTCTCTCTAGGGCCGTGGGTTGATGCAAAAAAAAGGCGTACTTTGGAAGTATGTTTGATAGTACGAGTACAAATGAACACATCTAACAGGAGACATGTGGGGGTTCCTTGCATCATCAGAATTTTGGGCTCCTCCCACAGCGTCCTTTGTCCATCAGGGGATTCACAGCGCTGAAACGACTCCGTCACAGGGAGCCTCGCTAAAGGCTCCTGACAGCGAAAATGATGCCCCAAACCCCTGCGTCCGCAAAGGTCTTTCCGTCTGATCTTCAAAGAAACAGTACTGGCTGGTGATACTAGATCCATAGCATTAATATTCAGTCCGCACATGTTCAGACTACTTACTTGTCGACTTCCAAATTCTTCTCCTGTATGTTCTCTGGCATGAATCTAGATTCAATGGGTCAGGCGCTGCCTCTATATACAGGAGGCTTGGAATGTGACTTTGAACATCGTAATGACTTGGAGCCCTACGTGCCGCTACGTCTTCGAAATTTGGGCAACGTCGGTCCAGCAGCCCCAGACCAGCCTGGTCCTTTCACTAAACATGGACAGGCGAGTACCAGAACCAGGCACCACGGATGTGTTGGCCGTCCAGCAATGGGGTGAATTCTCTCTTTGGATGAATGGTTGTGCTCCTTTGCCGGAAACTCCACTGTGAAATGATTCAACAATGAAAAAGCATGTTTGGACACAGGTACTCCTTTGATGGTGGATCAGGTCGTTCAGCTTCCAACATCTGGGTCGCATCCGTTCTCCCCAAAAGGAACGGTGCCTTTACAGTATCTTCTCACCATCGTGTCGGGGCCAGCGAACCAAGACCAAGAAGAAACATGAAGAAACTAGATCCGATCCGCCCACGAACACAGATCCACCCAGCGATTTTCCGGAGATCGGTCCTAAGACATGTCCACCCAGGCTGGGCCACAGCTGGATACCCTCAAAGGGTACCTCCTCACCATCCAAGGAGAAGCGCTCACGGGAGCCGCTGGAGCCCTGAGGCAACAGCCGGAAGGCCTTACACTCCTGGCAGGGTCGCCCATCATTCGGATGGTCCATTTGGAGGAGCGGCACCAAAGAAATAGAGAAAACTTGGAGCACTTGGTGTGGCACTTGCAAGAAAAAGGGAACCGTCCACCCAAGCAAATTTGAGAAACAAGAAGCGTGTTAAACAACACATTCCACGGTGACCGTATCAGGGGAAGGTGAACCTGTCGGCAGAAAAAGCCCCGACTTGAAAAGAGAGCCCAGGAACCGAAAGGCAACCGAGATGCTAGCAGTTCCGCCTTCTCCAGATTGACATGCCCACCGTTCTCTAGGTTCAACAGGAACTTCGTCAGAGTGGCCCGGCTCGCGTTGCGAAGGAGCGCGAGCTTCCAAGTGCCACTGCCCATGCTAAGGCCAGGTGCTAAATGGGAATCAAAGGAGGCCCAAGCCATGTTAATGGCCCAAAACACGTTGAAGCTGTCCGTGATGGTCACCCATGGCCCCTCAGGCAGGGCTTCCTCGATCGGGGGAGGTGATGATCCCGGAACAGTGGAGGCTGTTGCTGGCCAGTAGGTGAGCTCTGCTTGAAGAGGCTTCGGATTCAAAAGGCAATAGACTCCGTAGACAGCAAAGCGCAAACCACCCAAGAAGCGCATTGACTCTGATCCCAGGTCGATATCCGAGATGATGGCCCCAGATAATGAGAGGAAGGAAGTTCTGAGGGGTCGACTTGGCTGCGACACGGTCATCAAATCCAAGGGTTGTGTCTTTCCCTTGGCAATCAGGAACGCCGCCTCCAGCGCCCCAAAGCTTTCCCCAGCAGAGTGGTTGATGCTGGTGGCCAAGGCATTCCCACTGCCACCGGGGATATGGCCCACGGGGAGTTTCCTCAAAGCCGCTTCAGCATCCGGTCGCTTCGAGAGCCCATTGAAGACCTCGTGGACCATGCCATCCCCACTCACCACAATGATGCCATCACAGGACTCAGGATTCACCTTTGCCGTGCTTGGGTATAAGATGGTATAAGTGGATGTGCATTTAAAGCCGGGAGGGTGCTGAATGCTTCCCTGCAAGAAAGAAAATGGATATATAGCTATGGGGTTGGACATGTGGCTGCACCACTGCTTCTACTTTCTTTGCAGTTGAAAGAGGTTTGCTTCCAATGCTCATGCCCAAACCCCCAAAACTGTCCCTTTGTCAAAAGCGGGTTTGGCATGGAGATTGGTATTCCTTTGTTGGACACGTATACGCCAGAGTGTAGTTATCTAGCGTAGCTATCGCATTTCGGTGGATGAGTGGTCTGATCAACCACTTGTACCTGCACTTGTTCACTCGATGATGTAAACCATATTGTTTCGGACTCTTTCACCTTTCCGTTTGCACAGGCTGTGACAGGGCCATTTCCAGGCAACTTTGCCAGTGCAGTAACGTACAGATCTAATGCAAACTCGATGAACACCGAGCTGCGCTCTTGCAAGCTCTGTGTGTGTGCAGTGTGTGTGTGTGTGCACTGTGTCTCTGTGTGTGTGTGTGTGCGATGGGCCGATCCTTAAGCTTGTAGAAGATAGAACCGCCCCAGGTTGGCTTTGGAGGATTCGCTGTTTCTTTGAGTTCGTGATCTCTTGTACCTCAAGCTTCGGACATCTTCGATTCAATATGACTTCCAAGTTCGTTAGGAGGAGCTAGACCTTGCCGCGTAAATCTTCAGACCAACCCAAAAAGGGCTTATACAGAGTGCTTCATAGTGGATTTGGTGCAGAATCTGAGAACAGGAAGACATCTTTACACATGATCACATGATCCCTATCTCCTTGATCCACCTGTCGAGACCTAAACAGCACCATTCCCAGGCCTCCTTCTCAGCCACCTCCTCTGCTTGTCCTGCGTGGGTGGTTCTCAACTCCTCCAGCTGGATCCAGGGCAACTGATCCAAAAGCTCTTTGGCAATCTCCCACTTCACCTGGGCCTCAAGCGCAAAACGAGGCTTTGGAGTAGGACATCCATTCATGACCCGTCCTTGAATGGGTAAAAGAGTGCGAAATGAGGATGACACTCTACGCATCAGTCACATCCCCTCCTGCAAAACAAGTGTCCTTCCTTTTCTTTCCCCTGTCGCCTGCCCACTGCCACTCGCGGGATTGATGAAGACACGGTATTTCCGTGGGCCTTTCATGGAATGGCACTTCGAGGAGAGCTCCTTGGCCCATTTGTCGGTCTGCTTCAAGACTTCACTGTCTCCCTGAATCTGAAGGATGACATCTTCTCGCACACGGACGGAAGACCGTCGAGGACAGTGTACGAAGCGCAGAAGGGCTTTCTCAGGGTCCAGGACAACACCTTACGACCAAAACTGCATGCAAAACGAAACAAAAGCAAAACAAACAGCTCCGGTACCGGAATTTGGGAAGCAGAAAAATGAATAAAATATGTTTAATTTGAATCTTCCAGTTGAGATACCCAAAAGATCCGGGATCTTTAATTCCTTGGTCACCTTGCTCTCGTCTGGTCTTTTCCCTCGGCAGCAGCACCTCATGCCGGTGTCCTGCTCCGAAAGCCCATCAGAGAATTTGAGCACCACAGCTGCCTCATTGACCTGCACATTCACCGGTCTTGCGGATCCATTCGGCAGAACATAGAGGCAATGCCCCTGGGAGAGATCCCAGAAGTCCCCCAACATGGGCGAACACCCGGAAACCGCCGTGTGGAGGCACGTGGCAGAGCTTGGAGTGTTTACGGCTGGCAGAGAAAGGAACGAGGCTGCTTTTGAACTCTGGCAGAAACACACTCGCATGCCTTAGACTTGGTTCAAAGCTGATGGAAAGCTACTTGGGACGAAAACGGCCGGGCATCACCCTGGCAGGGCTTTTAACAAAGAGAAACACATTCAAAAGTCTATCTATAGGCCTATAGGCCATCAAGTGTGTTCTTCTCAATCCCTGGTTGGAGTTGTTGAGGAGCAAACATCAGCACCTTTTTGGAGACCGGAAGATCTGGCGTGGCTCAGATCTGCAAAGCTTCAGCGATCCTGTCGACACACGATCTTCTCCACACGAAGGACGCGGCTGGGTGGCTGGGTGGATGGGACCCGGCAGAGCGTGGAGTCTTGAGATGTCGACGTTTCAGTCTTTAAGCCCAGATAGATAGCTTGGGCCAGATAGATAGCTTGGTTGCAGGCAGCACAACATGTCCACCTGGCTTCATTTGAAGTGGTATTCTCGAACGCTCCACCTTCCCCCAAGGTTCAGTCCTCAGCCACGTCACTAGGACTGATCGTGCTGTAATCTGAAATTCGATTCTGAACCTGCAATCGGCAAGAGCTTGAATCTCAGCATGAGAAATAAACAAACATGACAACACAAAGCCCTTGAGGCATGACGAGAAGAGGCTCCCCTTTAGCACCGCATTCCAGGTGAAAATCGGAGGTCTGCTCAACAGTGGCCGATTTGGCCACTTGCCAAGAGCTACTCACAGTTGAGAAGTCCTTAGCCAACAAACCTAGCTCCTCGATGTCCTCTGAGATGCAGTGAACTATGCCAAGTTGGGAGCGTAGTTCACTCCTGTACCATAAGTCATTTCACTTGCATGATTTGTCTGTGCGAAGGGGGGACGCCAAAGGTGTCCCTTGAACACCGAAAGGCGACTTCAGCGCTTGACCAAAAGGATTAGAGAGTGGTGCAGCCGCAGCCACAGGTGGCGCCACAGGCGGCGCGAGTGCTGCAGTTCCTGCAGGCACAAAGCCCTGCGGGTCCTGCGGAGGGCTGCTGACTGGGGCGGCTTTCCTCGCATGCCCCAAACCCTGAGGTGCGTAGACTGGATGAGCCAAAGCTGCATGCGTTTCTTCATATCCGCCTCCTCCATGAAGAGATGCTGTGACTGGTCCTGTAGCAGGTGGGGGTGGCGGCAAGTGACCATTCTGCCAGTCTCCTCGGGAAGCGTCACAGGCAGTGGTTGCAGGTGCCGACACGGAGGTCAAGCCACGGCCAGTATGAAACCGGAAAGCCTCAGCCTCGGCTCGTTCCTGCTCAGTCTCACCCCCATGGAGCTTCCAAACCTTCTCTGTCTGGTCGAAGTAGAACCGGTTCTCCACACCCACCTCGCGGTTCTTGGGGGCCATGGCATCCAGCAGCGTTTTCAGCTTCTCCAGCAAAACATGGATCACTTGCTGAACAACCCCACCGGTCTCATTTGTGCCTGATGTGCCTGGCAAAGGCAGGGCAGTCCCAGCCTCAGGATCCATCAGTTCTTGGAAGCGGACTTCTCAGCGAGAGAACACTTGGACCAATGCCACGGGATCATGCCATGGTTTCGTCAAGTGGTTCTACAATACTGAAGAGCTTGCAACAACGGCAGGAACAAGTTAGTTTCCTGCGTTCGTTGCTCAGGGTCGGTGTTGAAGCTCTTCAGTTTGCAAATGCATGAAAACCTCCTTTCAATGTAAATAAGTAACCCTGTGCCTGGAGCCAGGTTGCCCTTGGATGCACCACGCATGTTCCTGTGCCGGTTTGCCGGTTGGATGTGCCCATTATGACCATCAAAGTCTGGCCTCTGGGTTGCCCAGCACGGCGCTTGGTCCACGAACATCCACAAGCTGCACAGGGAAGCGAGGTGTGCCGGGGGCAAAGAGATTTGAAGATTTTGAGATTTTGAAGCATACTTTTCCGTGTTCCATACACTTCCGCAACTTCAAAGCACTGCACGGCCTAAGAAGAAACCAAAATGTGTTGTTGCGTTTCGTCAATACAGCATCCTTTTGGCCAGCATGCTGCCAGTCTGTGCACAACGCACATCGTGGTGACTCCCTTTGCTCACAGAGACACCACTTCCACGGGCATTTCCCTCTCTGCAGAGTTCACCTGTACGGGGGCAGATGTGGGGCTTGGGTGAGGTCCGGCTAGGTCTGCCAAAAATACTTTGGCATCATTGAAGCTTGGCATGTTTTCTACTACCCAGCTTGGAGGGGTACGGGTTGAAACTCAACACACCACTCACAAAGGAAAGCACTGTCCGTATCCGTGTATCTTTGCAAGGTTGGTTTCTTTGTCGTGAAGAAGCTGTGAAGAAAGAAAGAAACTGCAGGCTTCTTGACTCATCAAACTCAACGCGGCCTGAGCTTCTCTGCTTTGGGTCTTTGCCTCCGAAATGGAGCCTTCTTTGGTTGCCAAGGGTCCGAGACATAGCCTGGGTGAGAAGCAAATCTGCCCCTTTGTCATTGTTTGGTTGGATATTATGAGTATGATATTCTTGGTCAGAATCTATCACTTGAATCAAACCCAAGAAATCTTCCTGGCAGTGTATGTCATATGGTGGGCCCTTCTGGGCCAACATGCTCACAACTTGGACATCCTAAGATCTCAATCAACACGTTTCGACAGAGCTTCAGCTCCGAGCTTTCCCAGCAGACCATCCATGCCTGGGGCTATGGCAATTTTAAGTCGCATGTGGAAAAAGGTGTCAAATCTCCGCAGCAAAACAACTGCCTTGGCCACCTAAGGCCCTGGCTTACCCATGGATGTGCTTGCTGAAACAGCTCGGTCATGTCCTTTCCGGCCTTCCGGTGCGATGTTTAGAAGCTCCGGAGCGGAGTCACTAGTGCGTCCGGAGTCGCTCCTAGTAAGGCCAGGAGCCCCGTTCGTAGCTTCTTGTTCCTAGTAGTAATGCCCTTTGCTACTAGTAGCTTCTTGTTACTAGTAGCGATGCACTTGTTACTACTAGCGATGCACCTGCTACTAGTAGCATCTTTAAAACCTCTTCCACAGCTTCTTCACAACTGTTCTCAGCACATCACATCTCGACACGACTCTTTCTCCTACGCGATGGACTCTGCCACGGAACAAGCGCTTGGCGCCCAACCCCCTGCATGATTTGTCGTTTGCCGCCCGGATGAAAATCTATGTAGAGCGTGATCTCGGACAAAAGAAAGGCAAAACAACGAGAACTACTTGATCAGGAACAGGCAGGGAGATGCTTCGTGACACTCCTGATGCTGGCTTGCTATGGGTTACCATCTGTGGGGCATAAATCTGAAATTAAATATCTATCTACATCTACAAGATCTACAAGTGATCTGCATGTCACTGAGTAGAACGCTTGGAACTTCAAGGGACGGCAAAGCAATGGCTGAGTGTGCTGCATCATAGACACGGCCCTGGAAAATGGTCCAACAGTTGCCAGGCTTGCAATGCCTCAGTGAATGCTGGCAAGCTTCTTCACTGTAATTTTGGGGACCGGTGGGGATTCCAAAGGGCTGGGTCAGTTTCTCTGACCCAATCTATCAATCTGCTGCAAAAAAATAAAAAACAAGAAACATGTCCATGTCCTCCCTCCCCACCTTGCCACCTCCTCAGGAGTTAGAACAGTCGCTTCATGCAGGTCTGCCTCAGCCAGTAGGTGCTTGGGGCGGCCCCATGATTGGCCCGAAAGGTCTAGTCGGGCCAAACAATAACCTGGGAGGTGTGGACCCATACCAGTGCCCGTTTGAAAAAGTAGACTCCTCTCCCATTGGACTGGAAGTAATCGTACCGGCTAAACCTTTCCCAACTGTTGTGGCTCAACTCATGCTACCTTCCAAAGGCTCAGAGCTGCAAATTTGAGAGGGACTGGTTCGTACATGTTCTTACGTTTCACAGAAGACTCAACAATCAACCCGCTTATGGTAAAGCTGAAATCCCACTGTCCATGGTTGTATTAATTCCACGAGATCCCACCGCACCTTGGGATTCTTGTTTCCCTCCAGCATCTGCAGGAACTGCAGCTGGGAACCTCCAGCCCTTAGTTGAATCTCCACAATCAAAGGCTGGGCAATGGAAGCAAATCAAAAAAGCTTGTCTGCACAACGTCCTAGTGGTCTCTTTGGGGCCTGGGAGATCGGGCTGATGTGTAGAAAGCTGATGTGAAGGATCGGGTGATCCTATAGAATTTAGAGACTGAACAAGCTAATTTTGCTATTACCAGGTCGCGCCATGATTGGATGGTTGCGGGCCCACCCAACTACAATCACGCTGAGCCGATGACTTTTGAAATTTGCCAGAGGGCGGCTGCCGCTGAGGTGCTTTGAGCTGACCTCTCCCTGCACTGCTCTGAGGTCCTGAATGCCGAGGAAATACACCCATTGGGGATGGTTTTCCACATCTCCCCTTCTTCATCCGCTTCCATTGGTGTTCATTGCTGTAGTCATTAGTAGATGTATCATCGCTTTTGCCATCAATACTCAACCCGATACTTCCCAACAGCCTGAGCAAACCAAGGAAAGAAATGCTTTGAGGTGAATGACAAAAACTGGCATGTTAAGGAAGTGCTCCTTTTAAACCCTTCCTTTGCCAACCCACCTTGCGCGATTGTGCTGGGGATTGGCCAATTGATGCGTGCTGCCGCTCTCCGCGTCCCGTAAGGTCAGCCCACTCCGCTCTCCTGAAACCTCGGGGATGCGGGCCTTCGCCTTCCAAGCCGTGGGTATCGGTCAACGCCCGGCGCCCGGAGGAGCCGGACTGCAGGATCCAAAAACATTGATGTTTCTTGGTTTCACACTTGGTAGGT